CCTAACCTAACTTGACCTAACCCAACCTAACACAGCCTAGCTTAAACCAACCTGATCCAAACTAACCCAATCTAACCTAACCTGACCCAACCTAGATCAACCTAGCCTAGGGTTGTAAACGAGCAAGCTCAAGCTTGGCTCATTCAAAATTGCTCGTATTCGAAATCGGCTCGTATTCGAAACCAGCTCGTGAACAGTGTGTTCGTGTTCAGCTTGATTTATATATTCGTGTCCGTGTTCGGCTCGAAATTGACTTGTTAAAATTAAACTGAAAAAATAGATGTAGAGTGATAGATTCGAACCTGGATCAAATATATGCAAAACAAGGCGCATAACCACTTTGCCACAAGAGCAGTTACGATTTAAACATAAATATAAATATAAATAATATATTATTATATAAATAATATGTGTAATATATTATTATATAAGTAATTATATAATTTTTTTTTAATTTCGAGCTAAAACGAGCCGAACACGAGCGAACAAAGAGTTGTTTGTGTTTTGCTCATTTTTTTAATTTCGAGCTAAAACGAGCCGAACACGAGCGAACAAAGAGTTGTTCATGTTTGGCTCGTTTACTTAACGAACGAGCTGAAAACAAGTTACTTAACGAGCCGAACACGAACTGTTCGCGAACAACGAGCTTTTTTAACAGCCCTAACCTAGCCTACTTAGCCCGAACTAACCCAACCTAGCCCAACCTAACCCAAACTTAGCCCCCTCAACCTGACCCAACCTAGACCAACCTAGCCCGACCTAACCCAACCTAGCTCAACATACCACACTCTAGCACGATTCAAGCTAGCCTAACATAGCTCGACCCAACTTACCCCAACTTAGCCTAACCTAGCTCGAGCAAAACCCAATCCAATCAAGCCCAATCTAACACAACCTAACGAAACTGAGATCGTCCTAGCCCCAACCCAACCGAGCCCAGCCTAGCTTAACCTAATCCAATTAATCCAACCTAAACCCAACACAACCAACCTTAACTAGACCTAGCTAACCTCAGCTAGACCTAGCTAACCTCAGCTAGCCTAAGCTAACCTTGGATAAACCAACCCTAGCCCTAGTCCCAAGCCTAACCTAATTCATGTTTCATGTTTAATTCAAGTCATGTATAGTGTATGTAGCCCTCACGTATAATCCAATTCATGTTTCATATTTTATGTATATTTCAATCATGTTTCAAGCTCTTCATAGTTTTTCTGCATGTAACAAAAAAAGAGGCTAAAAGAAAACGAGGGGAACCTCTCATGTAGGTTCTTCTTGTGAATATTTTATTAAAATATGTTAAATGCAAAACTTTAAACCTATAAAGACTTTAGGAATCAAACAAATCATGGGTTAAATATCAAACAACAAAAAATATCTAAACCCTGCTAACTCTAATTTTTACAACCACAACCTAGGTTAGATCTAAACTGTTGTCCCTAGATTAAAAAATGTAAGAGAAAACTAAGGTCTACACACTAAAATAGTCCACTCTAGAAGCCTGGGTTAGAATACTAGGTACCCAATAGATAGAATTAAGGAATAGGGCCTATAAAATAAATGTCATACCCCTCAAACTATGGGCATACTCTAGGAAGAAGTAACTCATGGTTACTGACGAAGGTACTCCAAACCACTTAATAATATATCGTTCTACCTTAAGCCATGACTATAGCAATAAGAAACATCTCCTATTATTTTGTTGGTTAATAGCCCAAGGATACCAACATACATGGGTTGATGGAAAGTCATAGGCATCTTGACCAAGGGAGTTATTCCCAAATTTTAGATTAGTACACACTTGTAGGTTCCTTATAGACTGTAGGCTATTAGGACTTACACTTCCATCTAGAAATCTTTCCTACTTAACTCTTCTATTTAGTTTAGGAATCACATTCAACTCAAACTAACCCAAATTCAAACTTTTCAATCAATCAAATCCATCCAATATATCTTAAACTCTTTTTATACTACAGTTGACTTCAATTTAAAGTTCTTCAATCATCAACAAATCTAAATCTTTTGGGTAAATAGTCCTCCATAGGATAGTCAAATCCCTTCTCTTGGGCCTTTCCACGACACATCTTTATTGGATTTTAGGCCCCATCTTTTGAGCTTAATGCTTCCAGCTCCAAACTTGGATCTCTTTATCACTTTTGAAATCTCAACTTTGAAATTTAAACCTTGAAATCTGAGTAATATATGTCTATATTTTAATTAAGAGTTTTCTCTAAAGTTCAAAGCTTTATAAATGTTATTAATTGTAAGGATCTGCTCTCGTAGGGGTACTAAATCTCATAATAAAATAAACTTTATCTTACACTTAATATGCATGAGAAAAATTTGGCTCATATAAACCCATGAGTCTTAAGAGATTTTCATCATCTAAATTATTAGGTCCATTTCTTAGGTAATATTTATTCTTCTTGAGAAAGTATGTTTTTTTTTTAAATGTCATATATGATCATTTAGATAAAAAATCTTCTAAGATGTATAGTGGACACATGAACCCATCAAAGAATAAAATATGATTTCAACAGTATTAAGTCAGTGAATTGTTATAAACCTTATCAATTTGCCAAAATAGACATATAAATTTAAAATAATTTACTTAGTTAGTATCATGTTTTAAAGAACTAGTGGTTCACTTAAAACAAATTTATATAGTGTTGTAAAACCAAAATAGATTATTATTAATATACATTTCCTTAAATCTGCCTATTTTTTTGCATGATTTCACCAACTTAGTGCATGTTTATAACCCATTTTGGGTGGTGCATGAGATTAGTCCCACAACATGGGAGGAGAAAATTTCTTCCACTTTTTTTCTTTGTGAAAAAAGAGGAAAACCCTCTCATTAACTATCATCTAAATTTACTCCCGTTTCATGAAATTTTAATAAAATGTTATTTATCAACTCTAAGAAATTAAGGTAGAAGAATGTGTACAAGGGTTATTTAAAACTTAAATCTCTCTCTCAATCTCTTTCTTTCTACATTTTGAACAAAGAGTAAGCTTATCACCAATCCATATTATAATTATTTTCATGAAGGGTAGGCAAAAAAATTTGTATGACTGGGACGTGATTGATTCTTATAGAAAGAATACAATTATTATCAATTTTTATGCACATTTATTTGAAAAATATTATGTAATAAGTATGATTATTATCACATCATAGTTGTTTATGTGGTTGATACGACTACTATTAAAGTGACATTTGACCCATCATCACTAATGTGTGAGGGTATAAGGCGATGCTCTTTCCATTCTTAGATACAAGCCATTTCTTTTTTATGAACTTAACTCATTTAAATCATTAGTTTTTTCATGAGTTCAATCACATGTTAGCACATTATAATTGATTAATGGATTATTTAAATTTAACATTTAATCACTAGCTTGATCAAAATTCAATCTAACCTAAATATCTCCTAAATTTTAAAATTAATTGATCTAGTCAATTGGCTAAATCTTTTTTGTAGGGTGTAAATACTCAAATCATAAATGAATGTGGTAAAAATAATTAATGGGCCAGATTAAGACCTCTTGAATCAATAGGATCCAAATAATTCAATTAAATCTAAATTATGGAATTGAATAAATTAATTTTGAAAATCCCTTTCAATTGAATGAATATATACAAATAGTCTCTTGGTGAGACTTGATTTGGCACTTCTATTTGATTTAACATAAATATAACTATTTGACTCTAATTAAAACCCTTAAATTGAAAAAAAATTATTAAATACATGACCTTAAAGAGGTCTTCTTATAAGAAATAGACCTAGTTAGTCCCCAAATAAGTTAATTAGCTCACCTAGCTTGTGTTGACACATTTTGTCAGGTAGCATAGTTTAACAAATTTGACTCATTCAACAAAATTTAGCCAAGAAAATTTTAAAAATTACACTTAATTGTTTATACTAAGATGACATGAGCTTTATTAATTGACATTTCACTAAGCCTAAATTGGATAATACGTTCAAACATCCTAAATTAACCCAATTGAATCTATAGGGCTAAATTGGCCAATTTGATAAATTTCACCTCAACCTATCATTCTAATTCATATGAGTGTATCCTTATTGTATTAGGTTAATGCAATTACCTCTTAATTAAGCCATTTGATTCCAATTGAGCCAACATATCCCATTTGGATTCTATAAGATCCACTCAACCATTTTAACTAGGTTGGCATATTTTGATTAAATTAATTATATATTGAACTTAGATAAGTTATATATATAATAATTAAGTTAAAGTGACTCTTATTTTGATTGAATTAGCCCAATTGGATAATTGGACCCTAAATGCATCCCAAATTTTGTACATTTAAAATCTCTTCACCCAAATGATCTAAGAATCTTTAGTAGGATAAATCTTTGAACTCTCGATCTTTTTTATAATTTCTCTTAGTGAGACACACTCCGATGGATGCAATTGGACAATTCACTCAGTCAGTTAAGTTTCGACAATATTACCTAAAATTTGGCTTTTCCAAAATTTATTTCATAAAAATCATTTTTTGTTTTTTAAATATTTAAAATTTTAATTTTTGATAGTTAAAAAAAAAAAAAAAAAAAAAAAAAAAAAAAAAACTTTTTACAAGTAGTTTGGCACCTTGACTTGACTTTCTATTGTTGTCTAGACACATCATTTTGGCTAGCTACTCTCTAAATGTATTTATGCGCTTTTAATCAAATCTACTTTTAATATAGCTTACAACTCTCGAACATTACATACATTTCAAATCATAATGACCAAAAAATACAACATCAACAGCATCAAACAAAACATGATTGAAATATAGAAACTATCACTCAAGCTATATCACAAATTGAACACACAAACTTCAACAGTTAGAGAGAGAAGGTGCTGCTAAAAGAGATGTTCAAACATCATTGTTGTATGGAAGTTCATGTGCCTCTTTATTCAGGAGTTATGACTAATAATTTTATATGGCAACAAAAGTATTTCAATCAAAAATAAAATTTTGGCCATTATTATGAGGCATATAAAGTTCATTTATAATTATTTTAGAAGTTATATTGTAGAATTTAATGACATAATAATATCCATGAATAACATGAATAAACATTTATTGGCTTTCTCAGGATCTCTAATGCCCATGTTGGCTATATTTCATCAGTGCAATCCTGAGAAAAAGACCAGACAGATTCCAAAGATTTAAAGTTCAAACTTAAAAAAATAAGTCCAACTCCCAAGAATGAGCCCCTGTAGGAATATTCAGAGTCAAAAAACTGTCAGCAATGCTGAATTTGAACTCTTCCTGTCTTGAATTCAACATGCAAGATTTAGGTTGCCTGCTTGAATATGCACCAAAAATTCCAGATCCTCTGCCTTCTATATGTAACACCATATCAGAATTCTTATTAGAGGGATCAATATCTTCCACAGCTCCACCAGAATTATACATTTGAATTAATCCAATAGGGGCAAATTCCACATTTTTGTCATATACCTGTTAAGGAGTGCCACGACAAATTAACGCTAATGAAATTAACCAAAAAATCAATACCGAAAGGTCTAACAACTTACTTGTGCTCATTACATTAAAACACCATGTATTTAATGGTTGGGGCATTCACATACATACAAATATTAGTATTGTCTATTTCGTTATTCGGGTAAGGCCTCTCATTACCAGCCACAAGTAGGACCACCACTCTCTCCCATCATTCACAGAACACGCATAAAATATCCTAACCACCTCCTGCAGAGAATATTACTTCTGCCTTCTCCTGTATATGTAACAGTCTTCTGTGTAACAAGGTTTAATTCGCTTCTCTTATTCATATGCAATGTAATATGTATTCTCCAATCTTTGTTCTGTCGCTATATTCACTTTATTCTTCTGCTACTGTTATTATGGTACCAGAGCTTCTTGTGCTCCAACGATCTTCAATCTTCCCTCACAACCGAACACTACAAGCTCTGCAATGTCTTTTCTCACAACCAAACACTACAAGCTACGCAATGGCAACCTCAAAATCCTCTGAAACACATGGCAACCTCTCCACCGAAGATGAACAAGGAAGCTGTATTGCTGATATTCCACCAAATCTTAAATTTCTGACGAGTAATACCAAAAATATTGCTCACACTCAGCTCTCTTCTGACAATTGTCCTCTAAGGAAAGCCCTAGTTGTCAAAATGTTCACCGCAGAAGTATGGCTGACGATCTCCAAGCGCCTCCAACCTACCAATAGATCTCGGCTAAATCCAACTCAAAATGAGCTCCACACTATGACGATGAATACCCTATCCATAACACAATATCTCGCCAAAATCAAAACGGTGGTCGATAACGTATCCGCCGCCGGAGGCCTTAGACAATGAGGATGTGATCTTGTATACACTTTAATGGACTGCCAGCGCAATATCAATCATTTAAAACAGCCATCTGAACCCAAATGCAACCGATGGACTTAGACAGCTTCTACTCACTATTATGTAGTGAAGGGATCAACCAACTTAATGATACACTCAAGGCTGAACCTGTGCCTAACCCGCAGCTTGCTCTCGCAGCTCCACGCGACCGCAACTAAAATACATCTCGCTGTCGAGGCAGGAATCAACAGTCCAATCAGCAGAAATCTCAACCCAACTCCTCTATTATTTGTTAAATTCGTCATAAAACAGGTCACTCAAGAACAACCTGTTGACACCGCCAGAACCTCGACTATGTGCCATCCAACCGAGCCTTACAAGCTTCGACCACACCCCAGGTTCTTGATACCGGCGCAACAACTCACCTAGCATCTGATTTCAACCATCTTCAAACAGCCGGCCACCGGAGCGGGACAAATACTGGTAAGAAATGGTTAATTTGTCTTAGTTCACCACTACGGTAACGACATCCTCCCGACGCCCGAGCGTAAGCTTAAACTCTACAACATTTCGCACTCCATTTCTCATAATCAACCTTCTCTCTGTACAAAAATTAATCGCTGATAATAATCTTTCCATTACCTTTAACTCTACTGGTTTCCACATATTTGATCCTCAGACAAATCAGACAATACTTTGGAGCATCAGATCGAACAGACTGTACCCAATCCAACCTTCGACTCCCACTTCTCGCTTGGAAGCATCTCATAAATCCTTCGTTACAACCATCACCAATCCACTCATATGGCACAAGCGTTTGCCACCCTCATGCGGACACCGTCCATCACATCTCCAAGAAAAATCCATCTCTTGTAATTTCAACAAAGTCATTGTCATGTGAATGTTGTAATTGTAACAAGAGTCACAAATTACATTTTCTCTCAATGTCTCACATTTTTATTTATCTTTTCAACTTATTCACTCAGATGAAAGGAGACCCTCTCCAATTTTCTCTAATCAAGGATATAGATATTACGTTCTCTTTATTGATGATTACTCCAAGTTTTGTTGGTTATTTCCCATGCACCATAAAGTTGAAACCACTCAAATGTATTCTCTTCATAAAAATGATTCAAACTCTATTTAAAACAACCATTAGTATGCTTCGCTCCAATTGAGGTGGAGAATAAAATAATGCCACCCTTCATTCTTTCCTATCCCAAGAAGCAATTCTTCATCAATTCTCTGCCCCTATACACCCGAAGAAAATGGTGTTGTCGAACGCAAGCATCGTCACCTAATTGAAACAACAAGAACACTTCTCTATGATGCCTCCGTTCTATTTAATTTTTGGATTAACGCACTTCAAACAACACTATACCAAATTAATTGTATGCCTTCCAAGGATAATAATTTTGTCCCTATGAACAACTACATCAACGATCTCCAACTTACTCCCATCTAAGAGTGTTCGGTTGTTCTTGTTACCCATAGCTCAAGCATACGAAATCTCATAAATTAGCACCTCGTTCCACTCCGTGCGTTTTCCTTGACTATTCCCCCCAACATAAAGGCTTCAAATATTATAATCATGCATCAGACAAAATTATAATATCAAGGCACGCATATTCCATGAAAACTCTTTTCCATTCAAAAACCTCACTCACAATACATCCACCACCCCTACTAATCCTACACACAAATCCACCAAATAGTCCTCGTCCCGCCATCTACCACTCCAGCTACCTCACCTTCTATCACAATCACTTCTCTATCCCACACTCCTGTAACACCAGCAATACATACCAATTCCTCCTCGACATTCCCCATGCCACTGCAACTCCACAGGGCAACCAATCCAGCAATTCCCTCGCCAGCATTCCCCATGCCATTGCTGTTATTACATACCACCCAATTCTTACGTATTTACATATCTAAAACTTAAACTTTGCTTTTTAAATTTATAGAACCCAAGTATTTCATAGCAAAAAAAAGATCACTATTTTAACTTTTAAAAAGTGAAATACACCTTTTCATGAAGAGGTAAGGTGGCATAGATGTAAAAATTGAAGTTTAGGTGCTAGATATGTAAATACATAAGAATTGAGTGACATGTATATAAACCTTCCATGATGTTTTTGCAAAGGACTTAAGAGTCATCAAATCAGCTTTAATTCTGATATTTAAGCATTGCTTACCAATCGTGTACTTTGGCCTTATCAGAATATGAATATCTATATGAAAAATGACAAGTGAATTTTTGCCTTGATGAAAAGTTGGATGAACTAACTTTGATTGGAGATATGGTGAAAACTTCACATTGGAGGACCTTCAGTGATACACCAAATGTCCCATTTTTTGGCAATCTAGAAAGAGAACCTGTAAGAGAAAGAGGACGGAGTAGGATTTGTTAGCAAAATCTTTATTATAGATAGAACAAGCAAGCACATTAATATACTCCGAACAGAGCATATTCCATTAAAACCAATTAAAATCAGTCAGTATCAGTTTATGTAGAAAAGCTTTAACGAGCCTCTGATTAGCCTCATTTCCACGAATTATTTCCAAGAGAAACTGAAATACAAGGTTGAAAAAGCCATCTGCAGTTGTTAGCTAAAGCGACTGAATGCTTCATCTTGTTTATGTTGAAGTGTTATGAAATTTTCATACATACCACACAATTCTTTTGTATTTACATATCCGTAAAGTTTGATATTTACACTTATAACACACTGGTGTCATAAACCTATGCGTGCAAAGTTATATTTATCTTTACAAAATAAAATGATGATGGTATTTTTAATGTGATCTTAAAGATTTGAGTGGTATGCTTGTAAATATGAATACTTAGGTGTATATATGTAAAAACATAAGAAGTGTGGTATGTATGTAAATGCCCCTTTTACAGGTTACATCCCTTGTGCCCAGAGAGAGGTGCAGATGCGGATCATTTAGAGCCAGGACCACACCAGCGCGTCAAAACAATATTACTGTAGATAGTATTTGTGCTTGTGAAGAACTTGGCCGATGAATCAGGTGGTCCTATCAACTCAAACTTGATTTGGGGAACTATAGAAAGTTCCTAATCAGGAATCATTGATCTCTTAGCATCTAAGAACATGGCAGGCCAGAGTTTTGAAATGACTGAATTTGCATGAGAATGCAAACCGGAGGGCCTTTTATATCCATAGATAAGAGTATTGCAGTCATTCAGGAAGAGTACATACCATAAATCATATATATTTAAATATCTAACTCAAACTTTTATTTTTATATTCATGCCACTTTACATATGGTTAAAAAGGTGTGTTTTTTATCTTTTCCTAAACAAACTCCACAAGGAGGGAAAAACTTTATCTACTATAACAAACTAAATAAGCTTGAACTAATTGATAAGGAATTATGATAATAAGAATTCAAATTCAAATAGAACTTATTCAAACGAATTTAAGGAAAGTCAAATTCACTCTTATTCTATTATAATCTATAATTCAATCAGCATGCTAACTTTTAGATCTTTGATCTCCTTCACATGATGTCTTATTGACGATCTGATTATGCCTACGAAGTTCTGGTGATATCTTCTTCAATTTAAATGTGCCCTACGAGAATCCAAAGAAATCAGATTATTAAGACTTCAATGAATATGAACACTTTGGCCTTTCACGATATGATACCAAATTAAGATCATAAATGATCTGATGAACTTCCTACTACCCAATCAATATCCCAATTCGTTTGCTTAGTAGATTCGTGAATTTTAAATCTCCATAGGAGTATCACTTAATCTTCTAAGACTTTTAACTAGTAATTATAATATCATAGCTCAATAAAATTATGACTGATGTACTAAATCTTCATTCTAATTATACTAATCTGTTTATCATGTAAATTTTTTATTTATTATGCTGTAGAAGTCTCGCCAATCATGAAAGAAAGGCCTTTAATCAGAAAAAAATATTACATCAGCACTGCACATGTAGAATAACGTGCGTAGCTAATGGAATCACGTCACGACACTCCACGCGATAGAAAAAAAAAACGGCGCAGTAACACAGAGAATATTCTCCCCGGTGTTATTCATGTGTTATTGTGTCATGACAATATTCTCGGTGTTATAATAACACAATAACACATCAATAACACATGAATAACACACAATAACACCACATGATTAACACGGGGGAGAATATTCCCACGAGTTACCGTGTCATTTTTTCTCTGTCGGGAATATTCCCCGTGTTATTCTGGTGTTATTGTGTGTTGTTCATGTGTTATTATGTCCTGAGAATATTTTTGGTGTTATAATAACACAATAACACATCAGTAACACATGAATAACACACAATAACACATGAATAACATGAAGGGGGAGAATATTCCTCGTGTTACTGCGCCGTTTTTTTCTTTCTGTAGCATGGGTTCTCGTGACGTGATTTCATTGGCTACGCACGTTACTCTATGTGTGTAATACTGATGTAATATTTTTTCCTTCAATCAAGCGGCTAACTCTCAAGTTTCTAGGGCACGTCCTAGATTTGAGACGAAGCGGTTGTAGCAAAAATAAAAAAAATGTCTTTATATATGTACATAAATACATACAGATACAGTATACAAATACATACATATACATACACATACATATAGATAGATATAGATACATACAAATACATACGTATACAAACAGACACACATTCGTATGCATATATATATATACAAACACACACACACACACACACACACACATACGCCACTGCCATTGCCAGTGATAACCCCGTCACCACCCCTCTTTCGAATATGTTTCCGCAATGATACCACGACAATTTTGCTCTTGGCATTGAAACCAGATTTCTCAAAAAAGCTTCCCGTAAAAATGACAAACTTGCAATCTTTCTCTGAGGGAGAGATCTCCATCCTAGATGCGCCCTGTCGACTGTTCTTAGTAGGTAAGTTTCTTTATGGAAACCCTAGACTTGAGCTAATTCGAAAGGACTTTGAGCAAATAAAAATGAAAGGGGGTTGGAAGATCGGTAAATTGGATGATCGTCACATTCTTATTCAATTATCAAATGACGAAAACTACACCCATTTGTTTGTGAGAAGAGTTCTTTGAATAGAAAACCAGGTGATGAAGGTTTTAAAATGGACGGTGGATTTTAACCTTCGTACTGAACCTCCCTGCGCTTCCCAGATTTAAAGATCCACATTTTTTATCAAGAGCTTCTCTTCGCTTTAGCGATGGTATACGGTAAACCCCTCAAAGCTGACACACCTACAATGAATCTGACTCGGCCTTCAGAAGCCAGAATTTTGATAGAAAGGGATATTACTTTACCTTTTCCCAGAGAAATATGGATTGACACACAACATCAGGGATTTTGGCAGCAAGCAGAACTTGAACAGATATCACTTTATTACCCACTGCCGTATGTTTGGGCATTCTCCATCTCAATGTTATCAGTTGCAATCGAATTTAAAACCTTCAAGTAAAAACGCTTCTGGATCCGCTCCACTTCATACATGTCCCTCCACCGCTCCTAAGTGCATTCCACAGACTATTGAAACACCGATTGACACGATGCCACCTCCCCCTCCCACTACCGGAGACAATACTGTCTATGTTCTTCCGACTGATATATTGGCATATAGTTTACTTGGGTCCAATAATCATGATACTATTGAAGCTCCACATCCCCATAATGCATCAGGTGTTGAAGAGACATGCTTGACATCTCTTCAGAATCAGAATGTTGTTACTGCTAGTCAAGAGCTGGGGACTCATTCTCTCCTATATGCCCAACAAACTGTTGACCACACCGATCAGATGAGACAGTCTACGGATGAGGAATGACAGGTATACACATTTAGAAAGAAAAAGAAGAATGGAGGCACACCCCAACTTGGGAACTTAATGGATGATACTCTAGTAATTTTGGATAATGGAACGACACTCAACAATTCGTTAGCTGTCTCCTCTCCTAGAACCAGAGGCAGACGCAAGCCTAAGCTGGCTCGTGCCTAGCAGTTTATTTCCTGCAAGTTTTGTTTTTTTTTGTTTATATTTTTTTATCTATGTTTCATCCTTTTAGGATGCTAGTGTCTGATGTATCGTATGGGTAGAGCACCTTTTTTTGGGTCCTCTCATACAACCTCTATGTATCTTTTCAATTTCAAAAAAACACACACACACACACGGAGAAAATTTATGCAATAAGTTCATATATATATATATATGTATGTGTGTGTGTATATATATATATATATGTATGTATATTGTTGAATCCCTTTTTGAGATGTAGGGTCTTGTATTATTCGTGATATCACATAATCCAATATAAGATCCTGAAATGCTCCTGAAAAAATAAAAAAAAAAATGGAAAAAGGTCCCAACAGGATAAAGTCGTGATATCACACAATCGGGTATAAGATTTTGAAATTCTCCCATATCCAAAGAGAAAAATAGAAAAAAAGGGGAAAAAGGTCCTAGCGGAAGAGAATCCTCCTCTGCCTTGAGCTTTTTTCACCGATAAAAAAGATTCTCTCCCTCGCCTTGATGTGAGAAAGGATTTTAATGAGGACAAGATACCTGCCCAGTGGAGCAACTTGATGTCAGTGAGGTGATAAGTGTCCTTTGTCTAGGTATGTGTATTCTTCCTTAGAAATTGTCAAATGCATTTATTATTGACCAGACATCATTTCCAGCTGGATCGAAGTACTTCAGACGACCGAAGAAGTGATTTTTTCAATAAGTGGATCTACTAGGAAATAATAATAATAATAAATTTAGAGACCGGTCTGATATGTTCGAATGATCGGCAGTCTGGTTCTTTAAGCAAAAAAGTGATGGGTTCGAAAGCCAATATTTGAATATACAATTTGTTTCTTGATTCCCTCAACCCTTTGATTAAATGCTTGCAATGTTCTGTGAGAAGGATGAGGGAATGAAAAGAGGTTTTTGTTAGTTGGTTGACCATTAAGACTCTCGCGATGAAGATAGAGTGGGATCCATAAATGAATTTTTCAATATGAACTGTTAACCCTTATCGCCTATCCTACGAGGGTTTAAGCCCTATTTTACTTAATTAAACTCACTAATCGACATTCCAAGCACTATCCTTCTCCTGATAGCTTTCACCATGTTTTGTTATACAAGTAGTAGTCTTAGAGAAATCGCCTAGTGGCTTAGGAATCTACTTAACCTCGGGGGCACGAGCTTGGGCATATGAAGAAATCCACTCAGCCCAACTTATCTTATCAGTAAATGTCAATCGTAAGTTCAGTTTTTCTCCATTTTTGCTAGAGGTCATTGTTCCTTTTTTACCCTTGTCATTTCTTTACCCTGTGTCAAATACAAGGGTTTGTATATGGCCTTTTAAAAG